AAGACATGAAAAAATATGCGAGAATTACTGGCTACCTGAGTCCCAATAATCGAGCATCCTCGAAAATGATAACTCCGACGATGTGATACCACACGGTTGTTAAAAATGTTCCACAACGATATATAGCCCAAATTCACGTTTTAAATTTTTTTTGGCCAATTATGGATAGGATTGACGTGAAAAGATTTTTGCGTTGTGTCATTATTCAATGGCCCATGAAGTTTTGTGGTGGTGCGATCATTTTCATGCATTTTCTCTACAGTTTTGTGATTAAAAAGAAAAAGTTTAAAAAAAAACGCAGAAAAATGTTTGTGCCAACTTGAAACTTCGTGGGCCATTAAATACTAGCATAATCCAAAAAATTTTCATTCTTTTCACGTCAATTCCATAATGATTTCGCTAGAAAAATTGGAAAATGTATATTTCGGCTCAATATGGGTAGATTCAACAGCTAATGTTACATCCAGTTTTGAACAAATGATGACAACCAACCAACCAAGACGAGCCGGCACACAGGCAGGCAAACAGGAAAGTTGAAATTGACGGAGAGATTTCATGGAATCGTCTCTAATTGTCCGTCTCGATGGCTTATATGCTCTATACGATGAACGATAGCTCAACAGTTCCTTCACCAGTCTCGCTAACCCACGGCATTCTATTCTGTCTTAATATGAATAATTAATCGCCCAATTTTTAATGGAACTATTGTATTAAAGAATATGAAAAAAGATTATGTTTTTTCTTTACAAGCATTTTCTAACGTTATAATAATTTTGAGCATAAATTTTAGTACAAGCTTCTCAACTGTACAATGACCTGAAGTATTTATCCATTATGTAGATATTGATAGCCTAACACCGGCTTCCTGGTGTATGGATACGCCGATGACGTGGCCATTATCGCTAGGGGTAGGTTTCTCCGTGCCCTAAGAGATAGACTGAACTACTCTCTAAGAACAATGGTGGACTGGTGTAGGAGGACGAAACTCTCAGTTAACCCTGAGAAGACGTCAGCTATGATCTTCATTAGGAAATACAAAGTGATAAACCCGGAGCCGTTGAGGTTAGCGGGTGCAGAAATTGCCTATGCTACCTCATAGATGTACAGAAGTGTCCAGCTGGATGCCAAGCTCCACTAGAGGGAGCACATTGAGACAAAGATGGGCAAAACTTACGCCTTACTGTGGGCATGTAGAAAGGCCATGGGCAGAGACTGGGGCTTTAGCCTCAAGATCAGTGGATGGCTGTACAAGATGATTTTGCTGCCGCGGCTGATGTACGCAGCTGTAGTTTAGCGGCCGAGGGCGAAGAGGGTGGCGATAAGGAACCGGCTTAAGTGCCTACAGGGAAAATTCCGGAAGGCAGCGACTGGGGTTATGAAAACGACACCTACACGATTTCAAGAACGCCCTTGAAATCACCCTTGACCTGCCTCCACTCGCTCTTCTTGTAAGTAAGGTGAGTAAGGCAGAATCAACAGCCTATCGACTTCTGTACCAGGGGGAATGGATTCAAGCGGGAGCGGCATACGCCAAACTAGAAATTCTTGAGAAAAATCCCTGGAACTTGAGTCAAGATAAAATGACCAAGAAGTACCAAATCAGGAAGGCCTTTAAGACCTACATTCCTGAGAGGGAGAACTGGAAAACTGTAAAGGAAACACCAGGCACCAATGTTATGCACTGGTACACAGACGGCTCAGGATACAAAGGCTGCTTTGGAGCAGGACTGGTTGGGCCAGGAGAAAAATACAAACGCAGTTGGTCCTTGGGAAGAACGGCTGCTGTATTCCAAGCGGAAGTTCAGACAATCAAAAAGTGCTCAGAATTTCTGGTGTCCCGGATGACAACCAAAAAACATATATTTGTATGGTCAGACAGTCAGACCGTTATAAAAGCTCTCCTTAAACCCAGTGCTGATTCTAAGTTGGTCTGGGAAACCATGGAGAGCCTGCAGAAACTGGGGACCAACAACAAGGTAACCCTTGCCTGGATCGCAGGTCACGAAGACATCCATGGCAACGAAATGGCGGGCGGGCTGGCGAAGCAAGGGGCAACGAATGCCGACGAGGCTTCGCCAGTGGGAGTCCCCCAAGCCAGGGGTAAAAGCCATATAGAAGATAAATTAGGAAAGACAACAAGACCTGCAGGAAATCCAGGGCAATCATGTCTGACTCCGGCAAGAAAAGATCTAAACACCTACTGGCCATGGACAGGGAACGATTAGGCTGTTCACAGGACATGGCAGATTTAAAAAACACAGTTCTTCTGTTTTCAAGAGGACAGTTCATACATCTTGTGCGACTGTCCGGCATTAGCAGCGACGAGCTACGTTGGTGGGGCACTGCTTTCTCCACCGCTGGTCAAGTCGCGAGCAAGGAGGCAACAGATTTGTTAAGACTGGAAAAAAGCTGGGCTGGACATATAACACGAACCTCAAACAAACGGAGCTACAATAACTCTAACTTGAGTTCGATGGCATTGGAGAGACCAGTCCAACCCTCTGCGTTTATTAATCTCATCTCATCTAATCAAATATGATAATAATGAAAAACACTGACATCAATATTTTTATCTGATAATAAAAAGAAATCAGTTTATGACTGCCTTTCTTACATTGAATTGTTGCAGAATGAATATAATTATGATTGATTTCCAATGCTAATTAAAGCTCAAATTTTCCATGCCCGAGAAACTAGTAATAACCCTTGCATCTAATAATAATGATAGAAATCGTTGAACTTCACCAAAATTTGAACAGGACATTTGAATTTGTATTCTCAAATTCCGTCGTGATTTGATTTGCATGAAAATCAGAAAATCCATTAAAACATTAGAGCTAATAGGGAGAAAGCCATTGATGTGACCATGTAACTGTATAAGTTCCATATGCCCGGAAGGAATTAGTCATTATTATATTGTTGGTATCAATAATGTATTTAAACATTTCGAAACTCATTCGTTAGTATTAATAATACTATAATGGTGTTTTCTCAATATTCCCATATAATCAAAACGCTCTCGCTCCAATTTATCATTCTCATGACCTCTCCACATGCCCAATTACCTAGGGCTAATGAAATTTGGTATCGTTAATTAATTCTCGCACATATCCCGATTTCCTCCCAACACTCAAGTGCCTAGATAAAATCTTAGAAATTTACCACAAGCTCCACGGCTCCTAGTATAGTGCAATGATTGCGTTCCTGAATTTGTAAAGCTTTTGGGGCTCCTTAATAACTCCAGGTTTCCTTCTGCTCACACCACCTCTTCGAGGGATTATTCCAACTTTACTGCTGCTGGCATGCCATTCTCAGTTGGGTAGAGTGCATATCGGCCAATTTTGTTAGGTGAACCCGAGTGGAAGTGAAGAGAAAGAGAGGGGAAGGGGTTAGTCAAATTCAATTTCATTTGCAGCACGGTTTGGATTTAATGACAAAAAGGAGTTAAAAAATCTCGAATTGCCCAGCGGTAAAGTGATAGCGATGTTGTGAATTGTAAAAAGCCTAATGGTCAATGAACATAGGTTTTTTGATCAAGTTAAAAATTGGGATAGATGGGAATGCAATGAGGCAAACACTGCAGGTGAAATACCAGTTGGCTTTGAACATTCCCGTATTTTTCATATTCTTCTAGTTAATTGGAAAGTAAATTCGAAATTTGTACATATAGAATGTCTGCGTAACGATTTAATTCAATTTTAAAAATGATTCCCGTTATACTTATTAGTCTATTGTTGGATTACAGTTTTTTATTAAGAGATTAAGCATCGTCTGATATCCCCATGGGATTTTTATTACTGCATTAATTAAGCACTCACATCATTAGGTAATGAATTATCTACACGCCGGGAGCAAATGTGATAAGGTACTGATACTTTATTATTCAAATCGTATATAGAGAGGGGCGTCGTGGGAGTAAAGAACGTCGATGGATGCATCTATTCTGTCGCACACAAAGGACTAGATTTTATGCTCAGTACGCATGCGATTGCTATGTGCAAGATGGGCCACACCGTCGGTGGCGTGAACCGTCAGGAGAAAATGCATCGCCTAAATCCAACGGTCTCCGATATTTATCGTTGACTATATAAATTACCCCCGGGAGTCTCTCTAAAGTTTGCATGTGGTTTTCATGCAGGGCCAGCGGGAAACAGACGTCAGGAGAATGGGAAAGAGGTGGAATACTCGCAAAAAGCTCCCTTTCAGGGTAGCAGACAGGCTGGGTAGACATTTTCAGCTTTTACCCCTGAGGCAGACCCTAGCGCATGGATAAATTCGTCCAGTCGCTTCGCGGACGCATTTAAAACAAGTGAAGGATATGCTTGAACTAAAGGAACTGATATCAACGGGGCTTTCCTCTTTCATGGTTATTTTCACAAAATTATTCATTGATAGGAAAGTGTATTATGAATTCCACCCGAGGCTCACAGCATAAATAATGAGATAAATTTATTAAACCGGACTTAATCCACCTCACTCATTCTTACAGATAAACTTATGTCTCAAAAACTTTTCAATTACTCCACCTGAGTACTCCATCTCTAATAAATTTAATGCGGCTGATATGCACGGTCCATTGCTTCGTTATGAATGTCAATAAATTTTGCCGCATTCTCGTTGGTGGAGAGCATATTAATTGAAAGATATTTATCGTTGGGTTTCCTTCGAAAGAATGATTATTTGAGTCCCTTTCCGGAAATCGCTGTGGGAAGAACGAATACTGGCAGAGTTTTCAAATGCAAATTAATTCCTAAAAGCAATTTGAGGAAGACTCACCTGTGCGTCAAGCTGCGGAAACCTTCAATAATGAATGAAAGTGAGTTTCACTCAAACTCTATTATTAGGGGTACATTACGACGGATAAAAGAGAAGAAAAAAGTTTTGTCGATTTGGACGAAATACACTAGCACATATATCTCATCCAATAAATAAATAAATACAATGAATAGACACAAGGGACAATTTATTACTTGATCAAAAATCTAGAAGCCGTGAAACAATATTTTATCAACATTCCGTTTATTTCCAGTGAAATATATGACAATTTTTACACCGATTATGCTCTATATCTTATTATTTTCTTCCACTCAACCATAAATTTATAATTGTCCCATTGTTATCAGTTTAAAATGATGAACTGAAACAGTTACAAAAATGTGAGAGAACTTTATGGATTCATCACTTCATTCGATCTCTCATCATTCGAAATAGGTATTCTATTTAATATATTCGTTTTTTTTACATAAAAATTTATTAGAGTTTCTATAATATCGATAATACAGGAATAATTTATAAACACGTACGATCGTCCGGGGCTTGTGCTGAAGAGGTCCCAAATATTGTAAATTTCATACTGGCAGTTTCACTTGCAGCACCCAGACTATCGCTATAGATTTGCCAGTCAGTGAGAGCCCAACCTTCTTCCCATATAACTCGACTACTTCAATGTCAATGAATAAATTCACCTTTCCTAATACTGAGTGAATGTACGATGTTCAAGGTAGTCTATGTTGAGGGAAAGAGAGTAGTAAATTTTTCACTGACTCACCAATGGTCATAGTCACTGTATCACAGCAGTATTGCAGTTGTTGCCATCTTTCTTTAGCTACTATCTCTCCCACTTCTCCTCCCCTTCGCCCCCTTTTTTTCAGTGCTAATGATTTTTTTTCGCGTGGTCTGCATTCCCTTTTTCATGCTATCACTGCGACCTACATCTTCAACTCTTCCACTCGTTATTACTCATTTTTATTATTATTTTTATTCTCCCGGACGTATTTCGCTTACACTAAATCCCATTTCTTCAATTATTTTCATTTATTTTCGCTTCCGATGTACACATAATTGTTACTGTAGCTCAAGTTTTATTTCGCAAAAATGAAAGGATAATTTATCACATTGAATGCCAAAAACATCCCATGCATATCTATTGTGAATTGGTAAAAAGCACAAAATTTAGTACCGAATGATGAACATTTGTGGATTAAAATTTATACCCTATCGTGAATTTTAAATACCGGATGAACAAAAAGTTTTCTATTCACAGTACCTTCCGCTCCACTTAACTCTCAACGATATTTCCGTTTACTCGCAAAGTACCCTGTTATTATTTAATGAATTACGTATCATCAAACTATGACATTTTTGCACAAAGAAGTGTGTACAAGACGAATGATATAGGGAGAGATTTTTTCAACGTGAATAGCAAAATATTTGACGCAGGGTGTAGGGAATACATTTAGTTGCGATCTATTCTTCTGGTTCATTCCTCCCGAATTTCAGATGGTTACTCCGCCGTTTGCTATTTCATTTCCTCGATATTCGATAATAGTTCATGTATTTGTCGCTCTTGATTCTTCTTCAATAATGGAATATCGCTGTGATGACGATAAAGAAAAAGATAGTAAACGATGTCATGAGTGATAAGCGGAGGCCGTCAGTGCCTGAAAATAGAACCACAATTCAAATGAATATAATAATATTATGAATTGGATTTTTCAAGATTTTTTTATCTTTCGAAGACAATTTTCCTCTCAGTCCACGGACTTTGTTCATTTATTTCCTTTTTTTCTGGTACAGCAGTTCGTAGAGTATATACATTTTCTTCCTCGTGTAATTTCAATGAGAAAGAAATCGAAGGGAAAGAAGAAAAAAAAAAGCTGAGTTAAAGTTGAGTTCACTGCGCTTAAAAGGAGACCGCAGTGAAATTTGATAGTCTTCAAATATTGTAGAGCCGGTCATAAAAATTTGTAGTCCTAGGTGCAAGTAACAAAAAATGAAAAAAAATCCAACTTCAAAATATTAGGAAGATGGCGAAGGATTAAAACTGGTGTTAATCGCCACAAAACCCCATTTTTCATTTCAACCAAATTGATACGAGATAATCGATCACCTTTCACAAATATTTTAATCTTAAACATTCATCGTTTTGTGAATTGATTTGAAAAAATTACCACAAATTTAATATTTTTATTCTCTAGTTGAATTATACATATATGGTGCATAGGTATTTACTCTTCTTCGAAAAGTCTTCCTGTTAGAGTGATGGATTTTTTGATAAAGTTGATATTTTTTCTCATGGAGAAATGGGAAATATTTCAATATAAGCTGAAATAGGTATAGTGGATCCATTGAAACGCACGACCATTTGCGAAAAAATGGAAGAAAGGTGGAAAAATGTTGAAAAATTGTAGGTTTGAAAGAGTCATCACTAGCCTTCGTTATCCCACACATTGAGGGGTTATTGAGCTTGCGTTGAGCACCAATGATCACCGCAAAGTTTTTCATCCTGCGGGAAATATACTGCACAGCTCCCGCAGCGCTTGTATCACTTATTGCTAGCCCACCTGGTATGTAATGCCTCCAGTCCAGAAATGACCGTGCTCATGACGTAATGAAAAAAAGCATGGAGAAATTGCTACCGTGAATGAAATGAAAGAAGCAAGCGAAAAAAAAAGACAATATCCAATATTAGGTGATAACTGAAGACCAACACAACAAGACCAACGCTATTTTCATGGGAAATTTACAATCTAACTATAATATTGAGAGAAATTGTCATGTAGATTTTACTATTTTTTCTTTCGCTGTTACTCTGACGTAGATACGCTTGCGACCGTTGAGACGATGACCGTCCATCTTCTTAAGGTACAACGAAGATTTATCGCTTTCCCTGGCAATTTTCACTCGGTAGATTCTTTATATGTTACCTCGCGTCTCCAAGGGGTTGGTTAAAGAATCGTGAGATAGCAATATTTCGTCCTCGCCAGTGAAAGAAAACAATAAAAACATTTCTCATCCCTAATAGACGCTTTTGCCAATGACGAAATTAGAGATGTGGGAATTTAAAATGGGATGCAAGAAAAACTTTAAACGTAGTTGAAATGCATACTTTTTCGTGTTGAATATACATGGACGGGCTCCATTTATATTTCAATTTGGGTTACAATATACAGCAATAAAAATAGTGGTAAGAATATTTCCTATCTTTCATATATAATGGAATATTCTACATAATTAAGTTCCAGCGATGTCACTCACCATTGTAGACGTATTCACGTATTGATGTATAATTCGCAGCAGCAATATGGATTTCACATTGAAATTTTGTCGGTAGATTCATGTTTTCCATTGGAATAACAGCCGACACGCCGATATCGTAACGGCCATCCTTCTTTTTATTGTGATACTCTTTCTGTTCCTTGATTGTTCGACTAAAAGTGAATTAAAAGTGAACCAATTCAATCTGTATGAATTTATACACCGTATCTATACATGCAATATTCCTCACTTGTCCTGTCGAATTGTTATAATTGGAAGGGGATAGACACTTTCAGCCAAGCACGTAACAGACAGCTGTTTCGTTTCATCATTGGAAATTGGCTCTGCTATTCGTAGTAATTGCTCGGGTGCTGCAAATGTTTAAATTCCAAATATAAAAGATCTCTTCAAATTTTCCAAATTTTCCTTTCAGATTTTCCAATATCCAATCCAATGATCCATCTGTATTTGGATCACGCCAACGGTTACAATAATTATATATTCGAAACAATAGCTCTTTTCACTTGATAATATGTCCTGCAGAATGCCAAAAGTATATCTTGGTCGACTGTTGCTATACAATTTAATGGGTCTAATTATCTTGCAACCAACAAAAGACTTGAAAATTCTCGACTACACTAAAGGAGACCTGAGGTTAACCATATATTTCAGATTTTCGGAATGTACTACCCATGGTACCAATGTAATATCCCAGTATAGCGTATACAAAGGATTTTTATTCACGAACTTTTATTGTCAACGTTCGGAAAAAATTTCTAATACCGCGATCTTCCATGGGGGCATGTCAAATTCTTTAAAAGTACTTAAGCGAGCATGACACATTTGGGAAAGAGTAAAGCGAATGGCACTGAGGGAGAAGATATACATGGGGTATGTGAGAGCGTGTCTTCTTTTGGCTTTTCCCAATCGATGCAAACCCATTTCATAAAGCTTCGTGTTATTACTATATATTCCCGTACAATACCGGCACTTACTACTATGCTAGACATTCTGTCGTGTGTATTGAATTATGTCGCCTGACTACATCCGACTTCCACTACTAGCCTATCCCTCGTATCTGTCCTGCACGGTCTCACTCTACTCTGGCTGTGCACTCAGCTCTCCGAAAAATGGAAAATCCGTTTTTTTATTTTCTATTATTATTTTTTCACCAATCGTTATGTTCCTGGTCCGCTTTTTTTCCTTTAGTTTCATTGAAATGTTCATACCGATGAGAGTGCATTTTAACCCAAATTTCACAGTACATGAAAGTAAAATGAATACTCACAGTACACCAGCATCTCTCCCTGCGCTTCGTCCTCATCTTCCTGGCACGATATACTACACCTAACCTTTCCAGACAACTCATGACTGGGTCTAACGAGCTTCACCGCTCTGTACTCCATATCTAGATCATCACTTGCCCTGTAGGATGCATCAACGTACTGTTGATACTCGTCGGCACCGAGTGGAGCACGTCCGTAGATCCATTGGTACAGGATGTCTTCATTGATGTACCATTTAACTACGAGAGCTCGATTCGTTGAGCTGCCCATATTGTATTGACAGTCAAGGATGATTGGCTCTTCCGTACCTGCTCGGACTACACTCGGGATCTCAACTTTTGTTATTTTGATTGGCTCCGTCTCTGCAAAAATAACACGGCTTTTCTCCATCATTCTCATCTCCTCTATCTGCCATCACATCCTCCAGATAAACATCAAATCACAACAAGGCTCGTTTCTCATTTTAACAGTTTTTATTGCAGAATTTTCGATTTTGATTGAATTTTACAAGTGGTTATCGCCCCAGGCTCATCTCCCAGACAGGTGTAAGTAGTCAATATAGGAATATGGTTTTTCTCTTTTCAATTGCACCACAGAAGCCCAAAAAAAACATAAGTAGCATAATGCATAAATTATATTTTCATTTCGATGCCATGGGGCGGATGTTCTTTAAAAAAACAGCAGTTAAATAAGAAAACCGAAGAAATAGAAATAATTATATAAGCAAAGAAAGTATTGCATAACTATCGAAGATGATTGAAAGTCATTTGAAAAATTTAATCACGAATCGGCAGAATTGTGGGAGAAGACTCGGACTCTCTCCATCATGAGTCTATTTAATCTCCACCTTGCCACTTGCTCCGAATAGTTACTCAAGTTCCACCTCATCAAATATACTCTATTCAATGCTTGGCTTTGAACTAACTATTCTCAATGTGTAAACAAGGGGAAAAAATAAAATTACCAATGCAAATGAGTACACAAAGCAGTATGACCACTTTGAAGCTTCGAGTTTGAAGCGTTTCAAACATTGCTATAGAAATTTCAATCGCTTTCGTGTGAATGGAAGAAAAGCATGTAGTTGAAGGTGTATCGTGAGGGAATAAGTTTAGAGTTCAATATATACAGTCGACATGGAGCCCCGTTGAATTTCACATTGGTTCCCTTGAGGCCTCATCGCTCTGGGTACATGCACGCTCCCCCGTGTACTCTAGCCTACCATGTGTTGCCTGTCTGACAAGTCAAACAAATGGAAAAAAGCCCGTTCGCGCGTACACACAAACGGTTTAAAACCCGAGGAGCATTTCCATTCATTTTCTTTTTTTCACCTTATGTTCAACCCCACACTTGGCGTTTTTTTCTTTCAATTTTTCTATAACCACTGCTGGGCCCAACCCATCCATCTGCAATATGTTGCCTCAAGAAGTAATATTATAATGGTTTGCGTGCGAATCGACTAATATCACGATGGGGGTGCAGAGCAGGGGTTAACACGATTCATATTCCCGAGCGTATGAAAATATGCCTATATGTGTCGTAACGAGCAACTACCTTGCAATCGATACAATTAAGTCATTATACATTCTTGAAATAGAGACAACCGGTCAATTGGTCGATTGAAATGGAGTAGCTATCAATGTGTTGATACGTGTGGCTTTTTGAGATTCAAACGAACGAGAAGACTCGCGAGGCGAAGCAACAACGTCGAGGGAAAACCAGCACTGCACAGCACCACACCGGATAGGTTGGAGAAAAACAAATTCTGCTCATTCTCTGATGTTCTTTTTTCTCCTGCATTATACGAGCCACATGGCAGTTTTGTGTATGTTTATCCCAGCAGTGGGGGGCGCTCACGCTCTTATTTGATTTCACAATTTTTTCAGTGCGTACGTGAAATGCTCGACAAGATCAAAGGATTTGTACATGGTGCCTCAGAACCCCTATAAAGGGCAAAGAACTTGGAAGGTGCAGACGAGGAGCCAACACAAAAATATATATTCACATGCATGGAGGTTGAGTAGAGGGTTGGTTTCTCTGTGTTGCTCGTCACTGTTGGCGGCTCTCGACGATCCTGTCAAGAGTGTGCCTCGCTGCAGGCGGTAAGTGGAAAAACGCAGGGGATATTTAAGCATCAAACTACCACTACCACTACCACCTTCCCTTCTCTTAAACCCTTCAACCTTCTTTGCCTCAGTGTCAGAAGCCTCAAGGTCTTTTAAATAGGACCACTCCACCAACAGCTATACTACTACTGTACGGCTACTGCCTGTCGAATTGTGGAGCAACGGGTTCTTCGAGGGGTATGTGGTGACGGAGGGATATACACCTTGTTCTAAGTGTGAAACGAGGTATGAAAGCCGACCGAACAGAGAAACTGAAAAGTGGATGTAATGTAATGGTGTGTGTTTTGTATGTATATTTTCATCCATGCGCACCATGGATATTCAAGTCAAAGCTCATATTAATACAGCCCACTCGGCTCCGAAAGGGTAAACCTGACGTTTGATGCAGCATCCACAACCCGCTGAGATTCTCGGCACAGTTTTCGTTCCCTTTCCTTTTTCCCCTCTTTCATCGAATTATATGGTTGTACGCGGTTTTTAACGCTCCAGAGTACCTTGCAATGAGCTTCACCTAATTTGATTTAATTACCGCTGGGTCAAAGAAAATCGCCTCTTCAGCAATATGATTATGATAGCATGGTAAGAGTGCTGCGCTGCAACGTATTTTGTAATTTACTTTCAAGTGGGAAAAGTTAACACGTCGTTTGTGGTAATGGCGGATTAAGTGAGAGATTTTTCAAAGGAGTAGGGTCATATGGAAATGTCGGTAATTATGAAGTAAAGGTGTTTTTGATGAATTGTTGAAATTTAGGAAATCGATAGGGATAGGAGCGGAGTAGTGGAAGTATGGAATAATGCTTTCAGCAATTATAGATGTTTGTGGAGAAAATTTAAAATGATTGGAGGGATTCACCGAAGAGGACCAACAGAAGAATATCCCCAATTTTAGCTGGAAAATGGGATAAGAATCATAGAAGATTAAAAATATGATAGGAGTTATTGGATATTGCAGTGCTCGGTGAAGAATAAAAACTGAGATTGGCATCAAAAACTAAAATTATTTGCAGAGCAAATTGGAAACCATTGAAAAGCTTTCCTACTGACTGAAATCTCATACTTTTCTTTTCATTTGATATGAAGAGAAAATCTTAGTGCTAAAAAAATCTACTATATGATTTTTAAACAAGTGGAGAATTGCTTTTTGATTACATATGGTATAGTTATTTTTGCTGATAAATTGGCAATATACTTGCGAGTGGTCATCTGAAAAGTTATACTAACATATTATACATAATTACAGTAATTATCTCCTCATTTCAACAGTCTAGCATCTATCACGAAAACCAAGTATATGTCGGTTATCAGGGACAAATTTATTAGAATTTGAGTGGACCGTAAAATAGCTCGAAGCTGGTTAAACAAATTTTTGGGAATATTTATTTAAAGCGAATGGAATAATAATAATTGTTATACTTGATACCTCCAATACCTCCAACTATTTTCGCTGGACGGAAAAGTCATAAGAGAAGAAATGTGTATTTAAATTAGGTGAATATCTTTCGTCCGTAACTATTTTCCCTGTTTCCAATTTGTTGCGCCATATAATCGTTTACACAATGAAATTATTTCAAACTAATGGATCGGATCGTGAATTATTAAAACCATCTTCAAACCAATATGAGATTTGGATTAAGCAACATTATGAATGTAGAGATCAGTAATCAAATGTAATTTCCTTCAAGATGGAAATACCAATGTAGTGAACTTGTATGTTTGAAATGGCTTAAAATGACTGTTCGAAAGGCTAAGATCTCTAGACAAGATCCAGACCGAAAATTTATTTTCTATAGCTATCGTCTTGAAAATTGAATAGAATGGCTTCTAGTATATTTCTTTCTGTATATAGCACCAGTTACTAATTCACTTGAAGTCTGTCAGAAAAAGGCAGGTAGTATTGAGACATGAGGAACTATGGATTGAAACTCCGATAGAAATATCTGGAGTTAAAGCCATGCGAACATGAGCAAAGTTACTTTAGAGCAAGGATGGTCACAGAAAGCGTCAACAAATGAAAGTATTTGTGGAGAAAATGAAGGAAGTAAACTATTTGTCAAATCCAATAAACATGTGATTTTTCTCTTCTTTTTCGCTTGCACTGACATGCTCATGCACATTGTGCTTGCTTCGTGTGTTCAGGTCTAACGGTCTCTTACGCCACTGGGGTACGCTGAAATTGAATTTCAAGGGTACCAGAGGAGTTGAATTAATCGGTGTGTCCGGTGTGACCCAGAGCTCCGTGCTCTACGATTCTCAATTTGTATATCTAAGTTTCAAGTGTACACTAATGGATTTTCATGTTAACCAATTTCATGGTTTTCATAGTAGTTTGTAAATTGTCAGATGAGCGCATCAAATTATTATGTAAATGTCGAAAGTTTTAGTTAATTTACCTGTGATTAATTAACAATATTATTTTGTGGCCGAGACTCTCGTAAATAATTGAAAAAATTGCCCTTTTTTACTGCGAAATTGATTTTTAAGCTCATTAAACTGGGCAAGTTAGTAGAATCTAATTCTAGGAATTTTTCTAGAGAAAATTTACCAGCGTAGCATTAATCTCATTTTTAATCTCTCCGGGGCTATTTTTAAGGCATCTAATGTTCAATAAAACTAGAATTATGAGGAAATTTTTCACATAATTTCTTTCTCCTTAATTTTAGGAACGAGCAGCGGATGCTATGATTCAAAGGATGGAAATTCCTTGGGAAAAGTAACTTTGGGGTTTTTCTTTCGACTGATTTATTGGTGGATCTCTGGAGAATATTTTCCCGTGAAGTAAAGGAAATATTATAATGATCGCACAGTTAAAGCGGAACATTCGATAAGTGTATGTATGACTGCCCCGTAGAGACTTGAAAAATCGTTGGGGCTAGTCAACCGCATCTATATAAATCGTCGTCGATGAACCACAACCACGGTTCTCTTCACCCACAAAACTCACGTGAATGGTTGTGATGAAAGCTATATTTTCACAGATTTTTTCTTTTTGCTATTTCCATATTTACCATTTCCTATCGGGTTTTATTTCAACCGGGCACTCAGCAATGGCAGGGAAACATCGGAATTTCCATCAAGCAAATTGACCATTCTGCGATCAAATTATTTGGTTTATTGAAGGTTATCTTAATATATCAGAATTCCACTATTCGAGTTTCAAGTTGTGCAGTATAAAAGGCATTTTTTTCGTCCGTAGTTTATTGCCGCTAGCCCAACAATGATAATCAAGTGTCACACAACGGAAGGGGCAATTTAAGAGGGCAATCAAAAGACCAATGAACACACGTGGGGCATCTCCCATTTGCCATACGCTATCATCACAATGTCTGTCTCAGCATCAATAAATATTATAAATATCAATCAAATAATTTTATAACCGTGAATCATATTTTGCACCTTCAGATGGCTGAGTAAATCTGAAGGTCGAAACTTCGAAATTCATTCCTGATACCTGTTCTACTAATGTCTGAATGGTAATTCATATAATTCCGAGATATCGAAAATAGAATGTTGTCGATATTATGGCTATTCAAATTGCAAAGTAATCGAAATAATACAAAATATTCAAAATAACAGCATTTGCATTGAAGGTCGTATATTAGAAATGGCCAAATGATAATAAAGTTGTATATAATGCCTTTTAATACCTTTTAATAGGAGTCCAATGAAAAAAAATGCATAAATAATGTTGATTAGGCGTTGTCCATCCATAACGACACAATACTATTGGCTATAGTCGGTAAATTTTAAATCACAATATCCAACGAAGAGGTCCTTGTGATGGAGCTCTAGTGCATCCACTGCGTCAATATCACCAAAATTGAAACACCCAAGGATTCATCCACGTTTATTCAGTCTTTAGTTATTAATCTCTCCACTATAATTGACTGATTTTCGAAATGACACCAACGTATGCGATTCAAAATAACCGAATAAAAATCAATTATAAATATCTTAATCAATAGTTAAAATGTCATATGTTATTAGTTTAACAAGTGTATTAGAAAGATTTCACAGTGCGTTCTTCTTAGGAATATTTTTTTACAATTCCCTAAACTTGGTTATTTGTCTGAGCAATTGATTCGTGTGATACTAGTTCGTAAGTGGTTCCATAACATGGCAAATATGAATTTTACAATCGATAATTATTATATTTTCCAAGGTGATGAAAATCCTGGAGTTTAGTAAATATCCAGTGTTTAATATCACGTGCTGTGAGCGCGATCCGGTAGTACGTGTTCACAGGATTATATTCGGCCTACTACTAGCTGTAATATGATGGCAGCCAGCCAACACTCTCTGCCAGGAGTTTGCGCGTAAAATTTTTGAGCTTGCGCGTCCGTTGTTACTCTCTCTCCCCCTGATCCAGTTTACAAAGTTGCCCACGCGAGGATTTCACTTCACCGGCTCCGTCACTATGTTCTTATATCAAAAAAAGAGATATTGACTTTTCGAGCTTAGCTACTTGAGTAAACAACAATTTAGCTCCATTCTGAATTAAATCAACTTCGGATTGAATTTCCATTTTATTGAGTAAATGCCAAAATTTTCACAGCGAGTAATAAATATTAATGTATCAACACACTAGCATTATTCTATACAATATTTTTCATTATTATTATTATAAACATGAAAATTTTCTCTTGATTTGAAATACAGGACTAGGTTCTATTGAACTAGCATTATTCTATACCATATTTTACATTATTATTATTATAAACATGAAAATTTTCTCTTGATTTGAAATACAGGACTAGGTTCTATTGAACTACAATTTTTTGGTATCATCTTCTTAATTTTTTCATTAGCGAGCATTATTCAACACTGACTGACCAGCAAAAATAGTAAAGCATCAACACGAGGGAGATGGAATTTTTTAAGAAGTTGAAATTGAACTGAAAATTTCAGTTACGCACATTTCTCGAACAATATTTTTTTATAATTGTGCTTGCGAATTGTGCTTCTTTTCATTCACTCTTAATAACATCAATGCAAGAATCGTTATCTCTCAAGTTGCCGTGGAAGCATTTGAGAATGCCGCCAAGCTTACCCATCAGGTACATGAAGAACCTTGATAAATGGATCGTTAGATTCGATGATAAACTCTCAGCTTTGCATTACAAACGTCATTCATGTCGCATAATCTTCATATTATTTCATAACGAAGGTAGTTGGCGATAATATTCTTCTTTATCTTTGGCAAAAAATATACCTTTGTTACCCGGTTATGATAACACTACATTACGAAAAAAAATGCGCTCGAGTTCTGTATTATTTTGTCCTTTAAGCTGTCATCACTTGAGGTCAATACCCATCGTGATGCATCAATCCACAGTAGGATGAACATAAATTGGTGATATCGATTGTAGAAATTTTCTTTGGTATATGGGGCTGAATATCCACAGCGCTGGGATTTCACCTAAGGAATTGAAAAAAGAAATAGCATTAGAGTTTTTAAGAGTACTGGTGAGATTACGAGCTGTGGGTGGCACCTTCGCGTGTTGGACTAATTTACGGCCTTTCAAAATGGGGCATTAGCCACAAATGAGGTGTATCAGTAATGTGGATAACTAAAACTCGTCCATTTTTTTTCTCACACCAATGGATATTGATTTTCGATTTTCAATGATACTACAGCTCGATATTGTCAACCGATATTTCATGAATAGAAATGACTCGGTGGCAACTGTTGTGCCATCCTAAAACTACAGTCATATCAAATGGAGATTAGCGACAACCGTGGAACGTTATGATATTCCATGGGATTGGTTGGTAGTGAGATCCGAAAAATCCTGGGTAACGACACTCTCGACATTTCTCATCGGAACAGTAACCCATTACATACACTCTCTATACGATTCGTTTTTACAGCCACCATATTTTTTCATATTTTTACACCTACACTTTTCCACTGAATTTTTCCACTCTCTGGAATCAGGCGACTATGTAACGGGAGACTGACAGATTTTTCTTGCCTAGTTTTTACCAGTTTATATTTCAATCATAGGTTTGTTAATGCTTCATGGAAAAATAATATATACAGTGATATATGTAGTATGTATCACATATATTTTTGTCACTTGGCATTAGAAATACGCGAGTATCTAAATGTCAGGGATATGAAGAATAAAAGATGGATAAATTTACTGGTGATAAAAAAGCGAATTCTCCGTCTCTTTTACTCATTGTCGCCGGAGAAGTCGAGTTCGTTGCAGTATACGATACACTGAAAAACTAATCATAACATATCGGTTCTAAACCACAATGTATCCTTGCGCAATGATAATTTACGTCTTTGAAACAGTATGCTGTTGTTCAGCTCGTAAATTATGCCATTGAAAACATTGTAAATCACATGGCTGTATAAATCAAAATTCTTTATATTTTGCAACAATCATTGAAACGTTTAGTACTGAATAGAATTAATTTCGGCATTATTAAAATTGTTATTTCCCATACTTTGCATCATACCGACGTTATATATAACATATATAACCACAATATACACTAATAATACGAAAATATTATTTATATATGAACGTCTGTTCTATTTTGGAAAGTGCAATTGAAAATTTAAATACACAGTTTCCATATGTAGACGAAGTTCTGGTAATTAGGGTTTCTCGGTTAAAGCCATAGAATGAGGCCATGAAAACTGAGAACAAGGCATTTTAAATAAACTCGAACAAATTTAAGTACATAGAGCAACGTATTCGTCTAAATAAGTCGGAAATTCGAAACTTTTCGAATGAGAATTGGTATTTGTCAAATAACAAAAGAACTTGCATTGACCATCCAGCTGAAACGACTTCCACGTGTGAACAGTCCAGATTTTGTAATACAACTAATTTTTTTGACAGTTAATTTTGATGAGTCATACCAACGCCAACAAAAACCAACTTACTCAATGAAGGGAATGTTATTGTAATTGTGCGAAAGTGTTCTAGTACAGGCACCTCAGGCTCTTTCTTGCATCACTTACCGGTCATAACAACCTGTCCATCCATGCCATGTGTCCGTTGATAAGAAGAGTATAACCGCTATTATCAAGCTTGTTGAAAGCGTGAGAGTCGTGGCATCTGTAACAGAGTCGAAATAGAAGAAACGAAATAATGCATTAAAAGTGAAATGCATAATACAGGATTAGTTGGTAGTTGATTAATCGGGGTGGAATCGATAAAAGTTGGTGGATGGTCGGGCGAGGGATGGGCAGTAGCTTGACAAGGGGGGGATAGTTGAAACGAGAGGTATATGGGCACGAAGCACGAACGGAAGTCGTTTGCTTCTCGTTGACGATTTAGCATGTACGAATACGTTTAAGTAGGTATAACGGTGAGGGATGGCTTTTTAGGTGCAGAGGGATCGGTTGGGGGAAAGGGGGTATGGGTGGTATGGATGGGGAGACTAGACAAGCCAGATAAAATTTAACGGGTCGCGGGTACGCGCTGAATTGATGGGGCCGCCAAACGGTGAAACTATCCGGATGCTGGAATAATAGACGCCAATGCCCCCACACCAGAGAGTTCAACCCCACCCCTCTCTCACCTCTCTATACATATGTATTCATACATAGACCGGCAATCTGCGTAACATTCTATAGCCCTCCGGTTCTGTCACTGCGTTTGCACAGTTAATGTCTAAATAACCCTGGGAGCTTTTTAACTTCCCCAGAATTTCATGATTTTTCTAAACTCGCCAAACGTTACAGTATACAACTGCCACTTACTTTTATTTTCTTCCCATAAGTTTTTTTTTAGAGCCGGCTATACGGAGCCGTGGCGTTCAGCTGTCAGGATGAAAAAGTATGAATCATTTTTCAGCATATTTATGAGACTCGTGTTCATGTTTTTATTTTTAGTTTTTTCGTGAGTTGAGAGAACATAAAGAATGTGGTGTCGCTCGGTTGGTGATGGACGATAAATCCGTTTGCAACAAGCCTGATTTTATCGCCGGCCATCTGCATATGACCGGTTCTCCGTAATTGGCCCCCACCTGTCCTAGCGTACTCAAAATAACTGTCAAATAATGTCGCATTCTCTTTCTGACACTAAATAAACTATTGGTGTAGGATTGTAAGATAAGGCGTCTTATTCAGAAATTATGGGGAAGTCGGGTAAGGGTATATACGGATATTAACGTTGAACTCCTTTTTCATCGATAATGACAATGGATTAGAAGAGAAATAAGTACAAATAATAATTTCAAGGGGTTGTACAATCTTTGGGTGCGGTCATATTCTATGGTGGTCTATATTCATTTTGGTGACAGCAAGTTGGCTGAAACGCGAAATGCCAATTTCCAAAGTGACTATTACCGAGGAAATGAATCCCTCCCTCTCCTATTCGGTGGGCAACGTTACACTTCGCTAACCTCACGTGGCTCGTGTCATTGAATCGGACGTGCTCTGATAACCACCTAGTGAGAATTCCCTGCTTTCGTATCATCACAGAGCCAAGCATACCTTCCAACATCTTCGTTGAGCACGCATCTTATGAGCTAAATAAATTCAACGTATTTCACACTATGAGAAATTCACCTCACATAGCCGGAAACTCGGCTGGAGAATTCTTGTGATAATTAGTGATCGTCAGTTATTTAATTTCGAACCATTGAGGGTTGGGCATATTTTTTGATTGGAATAGCTAGGATACTGGCAGGTCGAGCTGCGTAATTAAAGATAAATTGGTTCCCGGTTCAGTTCTTAACAGGAAAGTGCTTCGTGATATCAAATCAAATATCGACAGTAACGCAGTAAAGCCGAGTAAGTATTATTAAAAATTTTAACAAATGGGTAATGAAATATTGCCCAACATTGCATGGCTCCTCGTCAGACAGTGTCAATCATCCATCGACCGCTCAGTAGTGATGCAGTGAACAATCGGAAGTGAAAAAAAAAACGAATGAATCGATAAAAAATAGGAGAGAACCGAAGTGCTTGGAGAGGCATGAACGAGAGCAGAACTGACCCCAATCGTTGATGGTGTCGTGCCAACACCCATTTGTCATTCCTTCATTCATCTGCTATCCTGATATTCAGTTTTTTAATGATACAAATAGAATATCCCAGTTATATCAGTACGCCCAGTTAACTAAACAGTACAAAAGTCCCGAGTGCATATCCAGCTTCCACATTGGATAACCAAAAATTAAGCTATTTTTGAAGTGACAGGGGAAGAGTTTCTCGCCTGTCAGACACAACAGTGAACCAACTCGAGTGATATCGCTGGCAACGGGAAATATTCCAACATCGTGAATAATTTTACGAGGTCAGATATGATGCACTACAGCTGGAGAACAGAACAGATGTCTGGTGAATGAATTTCTTAATGATATAGGACTCGATAATGTCCTTTGACGGTACCTTTCATTGTGATGATACATTGAATCAAGAGTTGCTCACAGGAGTTAAAAGAGACTTTGGAGAAATTGCAGAATTTGAATTGCAGAAACAAAAGTCCTGAAAAAAAACTGAAAAGTCAGGTGACTTATCAGCAGTTCAATTTGAATAGAGAAGAACGAGCTAATTTCGCATTGGCTGTAACACGCCAAATGTGGAAGTTTCCGCATAGCTAGTGAAGCTTAGGAATATCCCTTCCTCAAGCTGCAACCGTCACCTCCGCTGCAACCTTTCGCTTTTCGCCTCTGTGCGCTTCTTGTCGACGTGCAACAGCAGCTTTTATACGCGCGCAAAATACGAATTTCACTCGTGAGACTCGACCAAAGCCCCATATATATTCTGAGGGCGACGTTGAGATGTTGCTTTATCGGGAATATTTATACCGCAAACTTCAACCAACTGGTCAAGAGGGTCACGAAAGTCGACGTTGCACAACTTTCAACCATCAAACTTATTTTCTCCTTTGAACCCAACATCTCAACTATTTTCTCTTCTTCGTCCTTTCACTGCCCAATAATACTTTAATAAAGGCTGGTGCTAATGCAAAACAAAGCTACTCCTTTTCAACATTAATTCATTTTCAATTTTATGCACTGGCAAGCCGCTTCCTTCATGGGGTAATTAATTTAGTTATGAACATTTTTATAGATTTTAATCGGCACTCATCGGAAAAAATATCAAAGACCACAAGTTATTCATCACCTTTGAGAAATCTTCATGAGAGCTTCTGAAATTTCATCCTACCGGTGAAGGTGCCGCTTAAAAATAAAAATTTACCGTGAAGCATTCCCCAGTAATGTTTGCCTGAACAGTCTAGTCTCTTTCAGTTTTACGAAGAAATTATAATCGCTATTACCTCTTTCTAATTATTCTTGATATAAATTTTTAGCCATTTAATGACTTAATCTTGTCCGCTTTACTCTACTCTCGGTAATAGTTTGTACAATCTGTTATGAAAGCAAGTGTAATTTTCGCATTTTCATCAATATTTTCTACGGATTGTTAATTAATGCCCCCCAAACAGAGTACCTATTAGCTGAAAGCAGTTTCACAAGAACTTTAGGTGAATTTTCCTAATCTATGGAACTCATCATAGTGGTTTTGTTTATAGCCCTGGAGAGTACCCTGTAATGAGTTATCATGAACAAATTACGGAGAAATTCATCTATCCATTGATATAACTAAATTATGAGGAAATAGGGCTACATGATTATGAATGGAAATTACGGGTTTAATGGAATATGATTAATTATTCAAAGAGAAATAGCTCAATGGAGGTCCAACAAAACCCGAGAATTCTGCTTAGAGGTACGTTGAGCCTGTGGGATTGGGAATCAATATTTCACTGTGAACCTTACTACTGGTCGCTTAGTAAAAGAATTTTCATCATCGCCCTCACTCCCCTTTAATCTAATTCCACGATTCCTTTTTTTTCACCTGAAATCACATTGGATTTTTGGTTTGAGGGAGAAAGGATAAATACAGTGGACAGTGGTAAACCAATGGCAACATTCCACAGGCGATTTATCCGATGGCGAAAAGCCACGAAAGTTGTAAATATTCAAACTACAACATGTAGGCTGTGTAGACTGTAGAGGCCAGTTGTGGAAGTAGGAAATATACGAAAGAGTTACCCTTCGTTGAACGCATGAACTAACCACCAAAGTAAATGAGTTAGTAGACAGCAGTTGTGCACCACATAAAGTGAATGAGTTTACCTCGGGCTTGTCGATTGTCATGAACATAACCAAACCTGGGTACAATAAAATAATGTAATTAAAAGGACCATAGTTTCAAAGAGTTAATGAGATATAAATTCTTGAAATTGCTCTCCCCAGTGTAACAAATATCTCTCACCGACGAAAAATAAAAGGTATGAAAGGTTAGAGTTCTACGCCAGTCACGTTTTTCTTTCCGATTGCTCCTAAAATGCTGGATGCTCTCATTAATACCAGGTACACTACGAGGAGCGCCGAAATTTCAGTAAGAGCGTTAACTTTCAGGTAGTTCCTCATATTATGAGTTGAGTTATTGATTGCTCCCACAGAAATATTCAATTAGTGCAAGTCGTCTTCTTCATTTATGAATATGTATTTTTTTTAATTAAACTACCAACTGAAAAATTCACTCATCTTCCATATGTATAAATAAACTCCAGTCTCCAAGCTAAAGTTGAGGGAAAAAAAATTGGCTAAGAAATGATCATTGACCACAGCACTTGCTAACTACACGCCATACAAAAAGTTTCAAGTGCAAATAAACTATTACTGGCCTAATCATCAAATCATGTGCTTGGGGCCACTTAAATCGATTTCAATCCAGCACAAATCTGTGCTTAGGTTGGAGGAATGTCATAATCTCCAATCTAATCAAGTTTCCTGGCAATTCTTGATAGTTATCCTCAAACTCAAACGCAAGGAGTTCCTTCAAATGACTTACGCATCACCGAAAATCTTCTTATTGTCTTGGATAGGTGTTGAATAAGGGACTTGAATTTTAACTCTCAACCATGTGCCAAAAATGGCATGACCTCCCTATTACAATAATTTCCACTTGCAACACGGCAGATCAAATGTACTCGTGAATCCCATAGAGTACCAGGAATAAAGCACAAAATACAGTTTGAGGGAGTGCATAAATAGTCAACAACGCCATTTATAGGATTTCCTGGCAACACCTCTCTCTACCCTACAAGTACACGTAAGTGCACAGAGTTTGGAAAGTTAGGGTTAATACAGATAAAATCCGTTCACTTTCTCCTCTGAAAGTGGAACGTATCGAGGGAAGAAAAATAATGGCAACAGCAGAGAAAACAATTTTTGATGGTTTGTTGATAGTGCAGTCTGTATATGGGTAGCGTTTGGGGAGTAAGTACACACCGAGGAATAAAAATCGTGAAAGAGCACAAGAAATTTTAGCAGACATGAGGGAACCAGAGAGGGGATGAAAGGTCTTCGTGCGGGAACAGGAAGAAATACGACGCGGCAATTTACCCGGGGCAAGTCATCCCCAAGAAACTTCAGGTCCCCTGGCGGAGTTAAAACGGGACAGGCACAGAGCGAATGAGAATGTGAGCGAGATAGTTGGTGGCTGAGCGAAAGGAGGGATAAAACGGAAGTGAAAATGCATTACGCAATTTTAAACAGTACTCGAATTAATTTCAAATGTATTAACTCTCCAGCGCGTTCCGGTTTAATTACTTCTTACATTTCAGCGCCTTATTCCGGGGCGATGATTTTCGCTCTAGTGACAATACGTAACGATTCCCAGAGGAATCAACTCCCTCGTTGAATGTTCTCTCCTCTTTTTTACCCCCTTGTTAAATATAACCTTGACTTGATTAGAGAGAAAACTAAATGACCCTCATACATATAGTGGTGATTACCGTACAAGTATTCTCCACCTCATTTTCCTCGGTTGAACATTGCTAGTTCATTCATATCCAACACTAGCAAGACAAATGTTCACGACCACTTGTTACCTCAGTGTATGTACCGTCAAAATTAATAACCCCGAGGTGTCCCCTGTGACACCTAAACCGCTGACTAGGTATTACCGAAAAGTCGCCTTGCACAGTTCCTTCATTTCACACACTTGTAAATAATATCCCTTGATCCGACTCACATCCCCCGTCATATATCCGCCTATGGAATTATCATATTGAGGTGTTTCACTACTTTCATCAACCTCATCATTTCATAAAAGTTCACTCCCTAATGCCGTTACAGCGTATTATACTGATAAAATAAATTGAATATATTAACCTTCTAACTGTTATGCAATAAGTATTCTTGGCAATTTTGAGCGCTTAGCTGGCCACGTTGCTTGCGAAAAATTACAGATCATTCACCCGATAATCTGAAGAGTAAGAGTTTTTCCCTGCGGGAGGGTGTGATATAAATGCAACGAGCAAAGCAAAATAAAAGGCTGCTATAAACATCGTCCGACAAGTCATCCCTCCTTTTAATAACTATTTTCGCTATCACAATCCCTAATTGGTAATTAGATGCCGTAAATTCTGCCTAGAATAAGCCCGTGTTCACTCATTTGAAAGCCCATTGACAGATTTATTTGCTCATCCGCGTAATGCTCAACCCAGATGACTTATTTACAGACCCGAGGTAGAAGCTTATACCCATAAACTGGAGACACTCAATCTTCAAGCTCATCAGATGGCATTACCACGCCAGACTAATAAATAGCTGAAGTTGGGCATGTGTTAATGCGGCCTTATACATATTACCGGGTTCGCTCGAAACAACTTCCACCCCCGACACGGATAGTGCGCCTTGCCCTCCTCCTAGCCTCTTCAACTCCCCAAGGATAGATAGGTTTAAAGATATGCTGTTGAGACCTTCGCATATTTAATGTTAAATCTCAAATCCAACATTACAATCTCTTCCTCCACCTCTTCCTCTGTATTTACCTGACCCGCATGCGAGTCTATTTCTAAGTACAGCGCAATAGAGACATCTTCTTTCCAATATTTTACGGTACTCTAAAACGGAGAGCAACATCGCTGAAAATATCTTCGTGCAGTCTCTCATCTACAGCCTTTTTTTTTCCTTCCAATGCATTTTGAATGACGACATTCACATGATGGCCTCCTCCACCATCAACACTTACCCCTCGAGCCCGAAATTCTTTTTATCTGCGGTTATTTTCTGTGAAAATGGTGACACTCTCTCTTGTGGCCTTATGAGGTCTCTTAGCTACAGTATCGGGTCAAGAGCCCAGGTCTACTGTCGTTTCTGACTATGAAATATTGTAACTGCGGCGCAACCAGCCACACCTTGTGTCCCGTCGTTTCATGGGCTCCGGAGTACAGTGGGGCGGGTTGAGGGTGAGCGTTTCATCCAGAGAGGTGAAATAAAACGGGAGCGATCGTATAATCTCAAGTTCTGTGTAACGTGCATGGAAGGAGCCTCTTGAAATTTTCCGAGCCCCAACTAAGCGGCTCATGGCTCTAACCGCCGTGTGCTGGACACTTTTTTTTTTATTATTTTACTTCTTTTCTCTGTATTACGCATCATACTGCCTTGTTTTCCGTGGTTCACACTCATTTTTATGAAACCCCTTCACATCCACCGTCCACAGTAAATAATAGTATTAATCATAGTATTAATCACTATATAAAGAAAATGCTACAGCTCATTTTTGTTTTGAAAAAATTAATTATATGATTGGTTTTGCAACTGATAAGAATTTAGAATACTTGACTTCCTCAATTGAAGTGTCTGAAAAATTATACTGTTTTACAACAATACAGCTAACGAATTTTTTTTTTAAACTTCATTGTTTGCACTGTGTATCTCGGGTATGCGCGTAGAAAAATGCTCAGTGAAATCTATTCTGATATTTAGTAATCATGTAGTAAACATTAAGGAAAGATTAAAGGGGCCTTATGAAATTGTATGATTGTGTGGTAATTAAGCTTTTTTTTCAAATGGAAAATTGATCTGAACTCGATAACAAATGGGGATGAGTAATTGAAACTCGGTAGAATCCTATAGCACCTCTTATATTACAGGCTAGAATTTCAGCTTCAATCAATGGAATGAGTTTCAAAGATATCCAATTTTTTACACAAAACTATGTTAACGATGCCGCAAACACGATATGCATCAGATTGGATTTTTTTTCAAATATTGGTGTTGGTATCTCCTATGTAGCACATCTCAAAAATTCATCCGAAAGTTTGAAAAAACTAATAGTACAAACTAATAACTCAGTCATCGGATTGTTTGAAATACAGAAAAAAATTCATTCAAAACCAAGGCAGAAGATATCACTACAACTTTTATAATGAATTTGTATCCGCGTGCAGTGTTGCGATAAAATTGCTGGAACAGCCAGGCTATAACGCAGAGTGAATTGGATGAATTGGTAATCGGTGAATCCAACCAAATCAGTATATCGTGGAGACGAGAGAAGTGTTATCGATTATCCAACCTAGGAAGCATTGACGGGATTGAATCAAATTTTGGAAACAACATTCATTCGTTTAATAATTGGGGAAGCACATGGCCATCTACTTTGCGTGATTACAAAGCTTGGGGAGCATTATGTGATATTAGTGAAGTCCTCGGGAGCATATGCAGTGAGAAGAGAAAAAACTGACGAAAATAAAGAATGAGTCGGCAGGCCTCAGCTCATGACTTACACAGCTGTGGGGGTGCGCCACAGGGTGAGTTGGAAAATAAATGGCAAACAGGCTTAAAAACAGGAAACGAGCATCACATTTTGTCAGGTGTTTGCATTTTTATTTCCTTGCTTTTTCTTCTGGCAAAAAGAAAAAGCACAAATAGTAATTTTATGGAAATACCCGTTGGCGTGGTGCTGTGGCAATGGTGGTGCTCATTCTTTTCCGTCTTTTGTGTATATGTATATCTTTTCAATTACCTGCTTTGAAATTTTCTTGTGCTTTTATAACACGATGCAAATGAATTTCTACAATTTAATAGATTTGGCAAAAAATAAGGACGGAGACAAGTTTTGTGTGCTGAAAAAACGCGTGTTTTTGGTGGAGATAAAATGGAAAGAACACAATTCCAGATGCACGAATGACGAGTGAAAGTTGTGAAATGCGTAGAGTTCGGTTGTAAAAAGTAAATATAAAAAGTGTTGGATGAGAATAAAAATTTTAACGACTGATCCTTACCACCACCATTGTCAGTATTTGGCTCAGTGTTGTTTATCACCTGGATGTCCATTTTTCTCAGAAGATTGGTCGTTACACTAGGCGTACTGGTTGCCGTTCCTGCACAACAAATACCACGTACCACATCCATCAGGTATCAAAAGCATGTCATCTACTAAGCATGATAGTAGGGGTTTATGAAGCCATATAACGTGTATTGCCCATGAAAGGATAAGATCACACCATGTTTTACACATAGACTTAGAGCACCTCCAACATACATTCTAAAATGATGATGTATTAATAATGAAATTTCCATTTGATAATCCCGGTTGACTTTCCTAATTGAATCAATTGTATCAATGACATCTATCTAAAAAGACACTACTATTCACACTATTCATACATTGATCACATTGATCATGAATATTTTTGATTTCGAATGGAAGTTTTGTCCTTAGTGTAACGAAGAAAATTTATTTCTCAAATTGAGACAGCGTTGTCAACAAGATCTTAAATTACAAGATACAAGTATTTTCATTGCCGCCTTTGTGTCTCCATTTGCGATATTATTTTTAGCTGTAAATAAAAAGCGATAATGTGCAATATAATCGGTCGAGCGCTGCACGTATTGATCCATCACAAATTCATTACCCTAAAAGTGCCACTATTGGTCGGAAATATGGAAGTTATTTTTGCTCATAGTTTAAAATTCGATGTTGAGAGTATAAATTAAAGATGGTAATTACCTGAAGAATATGTAAGGAATCTCCAATTGGTATAATTGGCATTTGGTATGCGCAGAGTACATTTAATGACAGTTTCACCTTGCAAATGGGCATTCTCTGCAATTAATACGGCTGTAATATTATATTTCCCATCATCCTGACGTACTGCATCGAAGTCCTCCGTTCGGTTAAAAACGATATCACTGATAAAGAATAAATGTATTAATCGTGATAATAGGTTTTCTCAATTGATACATTTGTTTTTGTAAGATTCTATTGAAGAGAGTGGATATAATAAATGGAATATAAATAATATTTCAGATCTAATGTAAACGAACGGAACTGTTTACGTTTAATAATTTACCTCGGGTGGAAGTAAAAATCAACTGATATCTCTATTATTTTATTTCATTGTTTACTCGTAATGCTTTCGTACAATCATGGTTGGATGTTGTCGGAGAAACAGACTGCTCGTTTTTACCGAGGAAATAAAAACAGTATCACTCAGTATGATGAATCTTACTTGACAGATATTTCCAGAGTGGGCTCAGGATACAGTCCCCCGGCGATACACGTCACTTCTACTACTTCTCCACTTTCATCGTCGTTTTTTTCATACTTCAAATCAAATGTTTCCTCGGGAGCTGAAAAAAAAAAAGGAATAAGAGTGATTCGAAAACGAATAGACGAATGAATGGTAAAACGCAAAAGCTATAAAATGTTTCTATGAATTTATCGGTATCGTGTGCACTCAAAAACTTTTATTTCATTCGTATATATTTCACTTCTTCCTCCTCCTCTCTTTTTACTCCACCTCTTGGATGATGCACGTTTCCTAAAGATTCATCGCGCTTTCACGAAACTTTTACGAGATTTGAAATCCGCCTTTGAATTCTTTCTTCAAGAAAAATCCTGGATTTAGAGGTAAACACTGCTCCATTGTGGCTTCAAGGCCTTCATCTACAGCATAAATAGATAACTCTTTGCAAAATAACTTACAGTAGACAATCATTGATGTTTCTCGGCTTACATCGTCAGCAACTGAGAATACATTGCACTTGTAATCACCGGTGTGCTTGATATTGAGATTGTTGATTTTCATAGCTCGATACATGGTAGTTGGATCGTCAGTGGCTTTGTATCCACATTGGATGTGCTCGTCCGTAGGATCGGTTATTGGAGGAAGACCGTAAATCCACTGGTAAAGCAGAATAGTATCGTTCACGTACCATTTGACGACCAGTCCTCTCGTCGATGAGTTATGCAGATCGTAGACGCAGTCAAGTATCACAGACGTGTTGTCACCAGCTTTTACCACTTTCGGTACTTTTAACTCCTCAATCACAATTTGCTGTGTGCTCTCTGCAAAAAAAATATGTCGAAAAATCACAATCAAGCCAAATAAATTGAGATATTTGTTACGGTAACGAAAAAATAGCTATCTCCATATAGTAAATGTAAGGAAAAAGCTCGGAACCTGTTCTCCTATCATGCCAGAGGATCTGCTGGTCATTGCCCACCGTTTCATGAGGTGTTGGCACTGATTAAGTTGGTCGCATGCAAATTGTTCTTTCCCCCATTGTCTCTCTCTCTGGCGCTCTCTTTTCTGCTCAATCCACCTCTTCCTCTCTCTCTTTGGAACCAACCCTACTCGCTCTGTTTCTCTCAAATGGGCTCTTAAATGGTTTACTACTATCGACCGGACGGAACTTCCATTATATACAGAGCCACTATGTAGTCTGACTCTCGCTGGCGTAATTATATGCGATTCATCACAATCAAAGTTAGAGAAGGGATATCGGACAACGAAAACAGCCGAGGGAATAAAAATTTAATTTATAAACAAAATTATCTGAGGAATATATTCAATGAAAACTGTGATGGGTCCTTTTTCGATATGGATATTACCACGACCTATACAGGGTATATATATAATCTCGGGTTCTTTCCTCTCCTTAATCGCAAAACGCGAGGTCACAATTGAAATCGGTAATTCCAATATGACTATTCATGGATTTTCTCAGTCGACCGAATATTAATTTTCACGGAATGTTATTTCCCCTATTCCTGGCCGATTCATTCGCTCTGAACTGCCACGGGGCTAACAGTAATACTAGCCCTCCAGCTCTCATTGGATTTTACTCTCGATAATAAACTGTTTTTCAATGATAAACTGAAAGACCTTGGGATTATGACGGGCTGATATTAATGCTCTACTGCGGTGAACCCCTTGATGTAATGGAACCAGGAGAATCCACGGATATGTGTAGACATGAAGGGCTCCATCAGATTCAATTCGCCGAATCAAGAAACCAAAACTCGTTATCTGGACAATTAAATATTCCCCCCGGTGGTAAACAAAACGTAGAAGAGAACAGGAACAAGAAAGAAATGATTATGTGTCCACTGAGATATAAACCAAGGGGTTTAATGCTCTCCAACTCTCCGTGGAAATCTTAATTTCATCTCAAACTAATTTTCAACAAACTTTGTAATAGTCGCCAATCAGCGGGTATGCACGAAATTTTTCTCATTGACCACATTTAGGAAAACAGCATCATTAAAACCGACAAAAGTTTTGTTTTAACGAAGGAATTTATTCATTTTATGTTAGTTTATCGTATGCTGATCGGAATAACCACGGAAGGGCATTTAATCATATAGGACTTCGAGTGCTCAAGGATGTTCTGCACGTAATTGAAATAAAAGTTTATGACCCTTTCTATAATTCGTTATATTTATCACAATAAATTTTCCATTAATATTTCAATGTGTTAATTATTTGAAGTAATAGCAATAGAAAATTATATTATTATATTGTTCAAATAAATTAATGAAAAAAAATTTTAGTCAATCGTCATGGAATGTTTACCATCGTTCTATATCCGCTTCAATAGTAAATTTTCCAAATTTCACCAGAATTTTATATTTTGGACTATATTTACTGAATCTTTTATTTTTCCTATAAGAGGCCGTATTAATTGAAAACTTTAATAATTAATAACCACGAAACGATGTTGTGAATCATTCTCAAATTTTATATAGGCATCTGTTGTCGCTTCAAAAACATTATATCAAAATTTCATGCAATTTTTATATCTTCGCCAATACATGCAAAACAAGCTTAACTATGCGCTATACCATATCAAATACCAGCTATGCTGTTGATGAATGTGTATTCCATATTCAATTGACAGAAAATTTACAATAAAGGAACAAGTTGAATCGCGATGATATGAATAGAATCCAATATCCCGAGTGGAAATTTCGATCAGGTCCAGATCAGGATTTGATCAGGTCAGCCCTGATGATAGATCAGGATCTGATATGGTAACTGGATCAAATCCTGATCAG